ATGCATCACTCAAATCATATAAAAATATTTTACCATTCAACTCTTCACTTCATATTATATTGCTAGAGTGTTGGCCATATTGCCGTGTTTAGCGCCGGCTAGTAGCACTTTATATATATATATATATATATATTCACCTCGAATTCGTCTCCATTAGTGATTACTTCACTAACTATTTTTGAACTATTGACGTCATAACTAGGGATCTTTTAACAGTTTATAGGGACTATTAAGAAGATGATCGTAATTTATATCCAAAAACTGCTCAAGAAAATCCCCTTTACCGATAGGTATTTAAAAAGAATCAATGCTGTTGACATACAAAGTCAGTTTCAGCTAAGTTCGGTTCAAATCATGAGTTTAACTGAAGACGAACTTAAAGGTAAGTTGAACTAGAGACATACCTAACAATATTACGATTATTACGATTATTTGTCGAATATACGATTTATTGTCGAATTCAGTTCTTATATTCTTTGAACTCTGATATACTAAATAACATCTGATCACGTTTATCCCATCAGATTTTTAGATAAAATTTCACATTTATACTCAATCATATACGAGTCTGCACAAAAGCTGGTGCGTTGGATGTCGAACACTTCCGCCTCTCTGCTTGGCCAGATTATTTAAAAAAATTCTAGCTTTGCATTTATTTACGATTGCACCATACAATCTCGTGGAAATTAGCGAATAAAAATCGTTAAAATAAATATTGCCACTGAACAAAGTACAAAAAATATATATGAAATGTTCTTGCCAAGATGCATGACCGTATTTTATTTCGAGCGACTTTAATCAAACCTGTCACTGCGYGACAACTAGCTCTAGTTGTTTCAATTCAGACTTAAGAGCCAGGCCTCAAGGGAATAATTGCTTGGAATATTCTACCTTTTTAACAAACCCTTCAGCTAATATTTTCACCATTGGTGGCGCATATTATCGCTTGAACTTTAAACACAAATTTTTGAGAAACGGTTATGCCAATTCATATCCCTTAGATGGATTCTTGGAAAACCATTGTTGACCTTCGCTCTTACTGTCTACAACTTCATTAAATATGCAAGAAAAAAAGTTATTAGAAATACTATGCAATGAGGGAGACTTGGAAGTGAATAACAAGAAAGGGGGATTCTTAACATCCAGCCAGCTTAAAAATATTTACGCGTAATTAGCTGTATTACTGGCTTTCACTTGACGTCATTTCCTGTCTCGTGCGGAATGTTCATCAGCTGAATCACAAGTTTTCAATAGAATTCTTTCTGGTTGACAGCACATGGTGGCCAGTGTTTGACCACCATTTGGAGCAGATAATGAGATTCAAAGACTCTTATCAGTGAGTGAAAGCCAGCCATTCCCCTTTTCGGCGCTAGCCGTCACGGGGTATAAATTGTTTTAGATTGTGTTACGGTCACCAAAAAGTTCGGACATTGTTCTCGAATTACCGTACAGATGTACTAAATCTAATTGAACAATCTTAATTGCAGCTTTACGATAGAGTGCAAACAATATAACCATGAAACTTTAGTATTACTAAATAGCACAATTTCATGCAAATTCCATTGTTTTCTATTGTTTAATTAGCACTATTTTGTACTATTTAGTAATTAGYGTTTCACGGATTAATTGTTTGCACTCTAATAACGAATGAAGCATAATAAAAGTGTGAATAARCTTAACGCACGTGAGGATATATGACACCTGAGTCGACGTAAAAACCAAAGACCAGCGCACGTTTTGCATAGTAAATAAAACTAGCTAGCGATACAGTGAAAATAAAAACGCTTGTAGAAAAAATTATGAGGGCAAAGAAAATAAAGCAATAATGCAAACATTAATTCAGCGAACGAGTRCTGACATAACTCTTAKGGAGTAAAAYCTCAACAGAATTTGAAGCGACTAAAGACACGTGCAACACAAAACGATAAATGTTCAAAACATTAAAAGGCACTGAGCTTTACATAAAAATAAAAATCAATTGGCAACACAAACCTAACCCATTCGCCGATAGTGCTTGCAAGCTGTACAAGGCATTCTGATTTCAATTCATACTTGTTATTCAACCTGATATTTGGTAAAAACACATCCAAGCCGTAGCAGGCTTGAAGTGGACTGACTGATATGCTAAGCAGTTTGTCATACATTTATACCAGCAAGACCGCTGACAATAGAACTTTTGCACCATCACGTGACGGCAGCCATGTTAGATGGCAGGAACAATACAACCGTTTTACATGAGAAAGAGTTCAATTCCCGGGATTTTATTGTTCTGCCATATAACCACAGGCAGTCCAAGCTGAATTTTTCCTCCCGCACTTGATGGTGCAAAAAGTACGATTAAATCCGAGCTCTTTGTCTGTCTGTCCGTCTGTTCCTTAGCTGCAAGTGTACTGATAATAGGACGTTTGCATGATGGCGTCATTTGACTCCCACTACCATAATGCTTCGCGAATTTTCTTTCTTATTCAAATTTGTATTTCCCTATGAGACTAGTAAGACAATTGGTGCTAATTAACTGAATAAAAGAAAGTGTGCAAGGGAGTCTGGTAGTAGAGGTCAGTGACGCCATCATGCAAACGTCCTATTATGAGAATATCCATCAGCTCATTATGTGGAAAATCTGGAATGACAATTCTTGAAACTTGCTTGAAATTGTTTTTGTACCGTTGACTCACGCTGGTAGGAGTTTCAGTTGATTTGAAAGACTCTTATGAAACAATTTCTTCTCACTTTTATGCTTATTCAAATACAAAAGCGAAAGATCATTTTCACACTCTTTACCGATGGAATTTGTACTATTTCTTTCGTATTTTAATTTCCTGTTAGCCTCGCGGCATCCGAGATATTTAAGAGAGCCGATCTATAGTCATAAGAAAAACCACTAGCGAAATCAAAATCAAATCGAAATCTGTTATAAGCAAAATTTAGTCTTTGTAGTATTTCGACCTAAGTTAGGACGAATGGCCTAGTAAGGAAATCCTTCTAAAACCACATCTACTAAGGAAAAATCTTTCTAGTCAGCTTCGGTGCACCTTATAGGCTCGTAGCAAACCTCTCGTATTGGGCCAAAAGTTAACTAGTCTCCTAAAGGACAAGTCGAATATAGAGTGGTACTCCAGGCAATCCCGGAGCTTATTCAGCCCAATTCTAACACTTCCTGTCTCGTGACGAGGACGACAGGAAGTTGAAATGGCATTTAAACATAAACTTATACTTTATGACTCCAAGTAATTTCTGAAATATTTTAGAATTCAATTCAAGCAGTTTAATTACTTTTTCTTTATTGTGCAGAATCGGTTTACTGATCGATGAAGTGTCATGGAAAGAGCGCCGATGAATAATTCGTCAATTATCGAAGCAAAAGTACAAGATGGCAAGCTTGTTTACATCTTCGACAAGAATCAACACGCTCAAACTCTTCTTCGCAACCTCATTGCCATGCAAGGCAACGACGAAGGAAGTCTGACGGATGTGGTCATCACCAGTAAAGAGAATGAGCAGTTTTATTTCCATGGACCGATCCTGGCTGCTTTGAGTAAAAACCTAGAGGAAAACCTTCTGAAACGAGGTCTTGGCTCTGCAGCCTCTAAGAAAACCAAAATTGTCATGGAGGAAAATTTCAGCTCAGAAGCTATTCAGTGTCTGTGGGACTATGCTTACACATCAGTCGTAACTCTTACCCCGTCCAATATCAACGAGGTGAAGGAGCTGGCAGAACATTATGGTATCGTTYGTCTAATGCAGGAATGCAAAGAATTATTAGATCGAGAAACTCCTTTTGGAGAAGGCCAAGACAAGGAAGAGGTAGGATTCAAAGATCTTCCTGAGATCATTCTAGACCGTCTGCACAACTTCCATGAGAAAAAAGTGTTGTGTACAGCTGTAATTACTGATTGTTTATCGTCGACAAGGTTTCCATGCCATGGTGCTGTTATTGCAGCAGCTTGCAACGAGTTCTTTTTTGAATTGGTCTTTGGGGATGGCAATAACTTTATTGATGTCGACGACCACACACTCCAGGCCATGGGCCCTTTTTTGCAGTATCTTTACACAGCTAAGTTGATGATCGATGAAGCAACAGTTCTGCCACTAATAAGGTTTGCAGCCAAGTTCAGTATACCAAGCATTGGAAATGCGTGTTGCAACTGGCTCAAATTTACGTTAACAGCCAACAATGCTTTGCCATTTATGACTATTGCGCAAGATTTCCTGAACAAGGAGAAAAACCTAAGTTCAGGAAGAGAAAGCCAAGACGACGTCAGCTTTGCCTCTGCATTGGCTGATCTATATCAGTATGCCAGGRGATTTGTTTTGAGRAATTTTTTCAGTGTCCAAGASAGCGTCCAGTATCTTGGGTTTTCTTTAGAAGAGTTAATTGATTTGCTTGCTGATGACGACCTTGGAGTTCATTCAGAAGAAGACGTCTTCTATGCTGTTATGAAATGGGTTTGTTGCAGCCCAGAAACACGCGCCAATGATCTTCCAGTCCTTCTTCAAGCTGTTCGTCTTGMATACATCCCTGCTGAGTTCCTTGAAGCAATGCTGCATCACGACCTGATGATAAATAATAGTCGGTGCATTCAGATGATTGAAGATGCTCAAACAATTGTACTTCCATCTACACCACGTCGACGTTCCACGGTGCAACGATATGATGTTGGTTGATATAATAAAATGATGCATTGAAAAGTCTTTTGTTAAATTCATCTAAGATGGTGGCTATGACGTCGTGTGCAAACCAAACGCAGAATATTATTCGTGCAGTTTACTGTGCTACATACGCGCCGTACCGGGCCGGAACTTATACACAAGTTTTGGATTTCTTTTTGACAATGCAACTTTTTGATATTAACTCAGGGTTAGCCTCGAATCATTGTCTAAACTTTCACAAACACCAACGATAAAGTAAAGAATGCACAACTTTACCAATACAAACAATTGGAAATTCCACGGATCTTCACTGGAACACATGAATATTTGCACAAAGTGGAGGCTAAGGCTAAGGCCAAACGTCGAACTTTACATGAGCCGAACCTAAATGTGTTTAGGATCGACTCATAATTAAACGTCGAACTTATTTATGTCGATTTCAACACAAATAAGACCAAACTAATCGCAGTCAGCGGTTACACCATCATAATGCGATTCCATAATCAAATCATGAGCTGCAGCAGCTATGTTGAAAAAATTGTTAACGGCGCTTGCGTGGTGAAAAAGGATAATTAAACAGTAATTATCAACATGATTTATGCATTCAGATCGGCTCATGTGAGGTTCCACGTTTGACACCAAGTCAATCTACAGTCGTTCTTCCCGACTGACTTAGTCGTGAAGATCAGTCCAAATACAATCTGTCGAATTTAATAGGCCCTTTGCAGTTAACGGTCACGTGTCTGTACTGGTGAGCAAAATTTTTGTTTTTGTTTGAAATTGGTGATTTTTTTTAGCTACTTGTAAA